TTATGGACCAAGTTTATAGACGTCTAAAGTTTCCTCGAACGGGGCACTATAGGTAGAATGCAGATCCTTCCGAGTTTAACTGTTTTCCTTTCAGACCGATCATACGACCAACCATGCTTGACAGGTTGAGTTTCCAACAGGCCATCCGAAGGCCCTAGATTGGCCTACTGTTGTCCCTTTAAACCCCTCACGCTCCTTTCGACCTGAAGACTCCTCGTCAGCGCTTGACCTTCATGTTGTTCTACTTTGACCAACCAGTACGTTCGACCTAGTTGGTCGGTTTATTGGGTTTAATCTTTCGAGTATGTTATCCCATATCAACATCAAAGAGCACAAGTCAACTTGATTTTTCAATCTACTCTATAAAATAAACTCATATCGCCCTTATATATAATTTCCGAATGCGGTGAATCTAAGTGGCAGACTTTTATGCTTCGTAAGCTTTGTTTGACATAAGTTTGTGCTTCGTACTGACATATATACAAGTTTGGTTTGAACTATTAGGCTTAAGAATTACCATAAACTAATTTACCTTTCTTTTTTTTTTTCTTCTTAAATTACCATATATTGCTCTTCCTTTTTCTTATTTGATTCATAAATGAATTACTATAAATATGTATTCTTTTTATTTTAAAAACTTTCAAAATTTTTTATTCGTATTTTTTTATATATGATATCAAAAAATCATATTTTAATTATCTTTGATTTGACATCCATATTGCACATATAACAAAAATAATTTCATCTATCATTATAAATAAAACTATTTTTTTTTCAAAACAATTTTAAAAATATCAAATAATAATATAAGTTATTTATAAAATATTATGAATCTAATTCATTAATACACCATAAACTAATCATTTTAATGTGTTTTCCTTTATATTTTGGATAAAATATAGAAATTAAGTATTACATAAAATAAATTTAAAGAAATATTCTAAAATATTATTTTTCGATTTAAATAGAGTACACAAAGAGTTGAATGTTAATATGTTGTTTAAAATAATAATATAAATAAATATCATAATTAAAAATAATAAAATAATTTATATTTAAAGTTAGAAAATAATACATTCCGTGTATACTTGAAAAATTAATAATCGAGAGACACCGACTCTATAAATAAAACATATAATCATAATATAATAAAATTTGATTTGTTAAAAAAATTGAATTAAATTTACGGAGTTGTAAATAATAGTTATTTTGAATATATATAAATGTAAAAATATGGTTAGAAACATTATTTTTTTATAAATTTAGTGTAATAATACGGGTGTCATTTTGAATAATTATCACTTTGTTAGTTATTTATGATTGTTTATTTTTCATTATATATAATTTCACTAAAAAAATATAATTTTTTTATTATATAAATATTAATATTTAAGTACTCGTATATATATACATGACTACCTTACTAGTATATAATAATACAACAAGACCCTCTCTTTCACACAACCCCACATCAAAGAAAAACGAGAAAGCAACAAAGAAGAGAAAGAAAAAATAAAAATAAAAAATTGTGTAAAGGTTGTGGTGTGTAAAACCGCGTAGAAGAGAGTGCGTAGTGCAGTGGCAGCATGTGACTATCTCTCTACACACTCTATTCCCCCATTAAAAGCTTCCATCATTTTGGCTCAAAAACTTCCGCTTTTCACACACCTCCCCCCAATAAATGCCCTTTTGCATCCCAGATCTAATTTGAGGCCTTTTTATACAATCTTGGCTCACCACACATAGACACACTCCACACAGTCAGTCGGTCACAAGTAGATTTTTCCCACTACCATTTTGTCACAAAAATAAAAAATAAAAAATATGACTCCACAAGACTCTTGTCTGAAGAAGCTACTTTTTCTCTATGTTTTCTCACTCCTTTTCATCACTCCACCCCTCATTTCTGCCAATCATCACCAAAATCAGCCAAAGAGAAGTCTACTGGATTTGGAAGAAAAGGAAGATCCGCCAATCCCCAACAAGGTAAAAAAACCTTCCACCAACAACAACGAAACCAAGCTCCTCAAGCCCACATCCAATTCATCCAAGAACCAAACCAAGCCCATCAAGATCTCCTCTGATTCCTCCTCCAAGTCCAACAAGACAAAGCCCATCAAGACGAGCCCAACGGAAAACCCTGCGCCGGCCACCGCCAAATCGCAGCTCAAGAAACTCAACACCACCTCCAAATCGAATTCAACTTCTCTCCCAACCAAGAAAACCTCAGATCTATCCTCACCCAAGAACAAAACCTCCAAGCAAACCACTACCAACAAAGAGACAAAAGCCCATCTGGAAATCACTCGACCCAAATCTGACAAGGCCCAGAAAAATCAGCCCAATAAGGCCCAGAAAAAGCAGCCCAGCTGGATCGATGACGACGACGATGACGATTTGGTCGCCGGATTTAGGGATCTCCCAACGAAATTCCAAGAATCAATCGTCCCAGATTTAGAAAGAATCTCAAAAACATCCCAAATTTACCTCAACAAATACAACAAAGAGTTCACAAAGGGATTTAAGCCTTATTTCGGCACCAAATATGCTTCCGCCATAGCCTCTCTAGTGTCCTTCGCTTTCGTTTTGATCCCCTTGATTATCGTCTCCCTCATTTTCAGCAAAATCAAAGCTTATTTTTCGCTTCAAAAGCTCTTGATTTTTGTCCAGGCTTATTTAGCTATTTATTTCACCATCCTCTGCTTGTCCGCCTTGGCCACGGGGCTCGAGCCGCTGAGGTTTTTCTTCGCTACTTCGCGGTCCACCTACGTGGGCGTGCAGGTGCTGCAGACGCTGGCGTATGTGTTGTACCTGCTGATTCTGTTGATGTACCTCATTCTGGTGTTTTCTACCGAAACCGGGCTGGCGACGAAGGCGTTGGGCCTGGGCCAGACGCTCGTGGGCTTCGCGGTTGGGCTTCATTACTACATGACGGTGTTTCACAGGGCCGTGCTGCACCAGCCGCCCAAGAGTAGTTGGCGGGTGCACGCGCTCTATGCCACGTGTTTCCTTGTGATTTGTCTATTGGGTAGATTGGATCGCAAGAAGAAGGCTTATTTGGAAGAGGGAGGCGAGGAGGGTANGGGAATAGGATTTTTTTTTTCGTTTTTTCTTTTCGGCTTATTTTTATTATTTTCTTTTATCTGTTTTATGAAGTGTAATTTTGGGAAAATTGTAATTTATTATGATTATAATAATAACAATAAGGGATTTAATTTTAGTTTTTGACCCAAGTCAATTGTTTTGTTTCCGGGAAAAAATCGCGTTATTCGCGAGATACCTCCTTGACTTGTGTCCTGCGTATGCTCCATTTTCATAACGTAATAAATGCCAACAAACTTGCCTTTTTGAGCTGTCATATTCCGTACCTAGCTTTTTGAAAAATATCTGCGGGTAATTTTTTGGTAGTATCACTTTCTTGCGAATAAATCATTAATTTTTTAAATCAACTAATTCATTGATAATAGATCCAAATTCACTTTCTAGATCTTATGCTTTCAGCTGAATATTACTCCCTCCATTTTGAAATATAAGGCGTATAAAAATTTCTCAATTTTTTTTAAATATAAGGCGCGCTAAAAAATCAAGACAATTTTTTACATTTTTTTTCCAAATATACCTTCATTGTGTTGAAATTAAGGAAGTGTGGAGTGGTTGTGATTAGAGTAAATAAGGTTAATTTAGTCAATTTATTCATTAATTAATGTCTCCTTAATATTTATGCAATAACCTTAAATGCCTTATATTTCAAAATGGAGGGAGATTTACGCTGAATTAATCCCAATGTTGTTTTGCAAATTAAACTGATTCTTGAATCATTTTGAACCAAATTCTTGAGTCTTGATGGTGATTTAATCTTGCACATGGGAGCTGGTTTTCTGTGGTAGTTTGATGGTGAGTTAATCTAGCACATGAGAGCTTGTTTTCGTGTGTCGGTGGGTAGAAAATAATTGTGGTACAAACATAAGCCATCACCGACAACATATTTTACCTACGGCCATGCTACTTAAAGTTAAATGCAGCTATTCTTTAATCACTGTTATTTACAATTGTAAGAAAGCAAAGTGCTTCATTCATTCATGACTACGGTTCTGGAGATCTTACAAATATCTGTACCGAGAACCGAACCGAATCATCTCATGCCGTACCGAACCGAAGAACCGAAATTAAGAACCGAATTATAAAAATAGATGCATGTTATTAATATATTTTATGTCAACTTTGATCCTATACAATTTGAGAATTTTTAAAATGCAAATAAAATATAGTAATAACAATGAAGATTTACTTAAATTTTATGCTTAGTAATACTTGATTTACAATTGAATTCCTCCTTTTTTTTAAAAAAAAAATATTTAAATTAATGGAATGAAAGGTTAAAGAATTTTTTTTAAAAAAATAATAATTAAACTTTACTTAAATTTGTCCGTAGTTAGCCTTATTCTATCTTATAACTGACATAGTATGGAAGATTAAATAAATATTACTTTAATAAAAAAAACTATATTATATTTTGTTTGAATTTTAAATATTCAATGTTAGTTAAATTTACTCTTAAATAAAATTTAAGGTTACTTATAAAGTTGATTTAAAATCTTTAATATGATGAAGTATTGATGAAAGTGGATTTAAAAAAAATATATAGAAAAAATAAAATATAACTAGATGGTCATTCAAAAAAAAACAATTAAAATATAATAAGAAATCTCCGAATATCCGAACCGAACCAAACCGTTCCGATAGTCCTGAAAACCGAACCGAACCGAAATAAAAATCTCCGAACTGAACCAAACAGAACCGATTTTTTGGTACGGTTCTGGAAATTGAATTTTAGTGATCTCCGAACTTCGGTACAGTTCTGAAGATTTATCAATCTCCGAACCGTACCGACCCATACTCACTCATACTCAAAACCATTAGCGAGGGCTGAGATGTCGTGGTACGTTGTTTTTGATGCGCCTAATATAGAGATCAAAACGTGGGCCGTGATGCTCACAAAATTTGTGTTTGCACTTGCACATGATGATATCATCAAACCTCCATCGATTATGATAAGTGTTAAAGCTCGTGAGTCCAAAGAGGTGATCGAAAAAAGAGTAAGTAAAATAATATCGCATGAACATTGTGGTTGCAATTCTTGCGTGGAATGTGATGTTTTCAGTATTGGAGCTGCTTTTGAAGCTTTTTAGATTGTGAATTTTGGGTCATTGGCATATATTTTTGCAATATTGTAGTACGTAATCGAGTGGGTGATGCAGGAATTGTAGAAACGGTACTTATAGATTTTGTATGATTTTTTTCTTCTCGTTNTACGAGTTCCTGCAAAAGGTGTACAAATTTCCAATATATCGGGAAAAAATTGGGCAAAATGTATTTTTCTGATTTTGCAATATATTTTTCTTTGGAGAAAAATGTAACATGAGAAGTTCTAGATGAATTTTTAGACCATCTTCAATCCTCTATTCTATTCTAATGTAAACTTTACTCTACTCTAATGCCAAAATTTAAATTTCGTCTACATTTTACTCTACATGAAATACATTAGCACAAAATAAAATTTAAGTACAACTATAAAATCAAAATTTAAAATTATTTAGCAAAATAAATAATTTATTGATGTATATTTGTCAAAATAATATCTAGAAATAAATATCAATTATAAAATTAAAATATGTAGGAATAAAAATTGTAACTCAGTGAATTGCACCACCCTACGTCGTCATATTGTTCACATCTTCAAAATAATGCGGAAATGTTTTTAATATTACTCTGAAGTAAAATTGCAATATAGAGCCGCATAGAAGTTGCTCTCAGTGAACTTCAGATTCCCTGCCGAAACAATTAGGTTGCCGGACGCATTTATAGATTGTAAAACCAAAATTTCAGATTGTTTTAAGTTCTCATATTATTTTGAAGCTACCTGTCCAAACCACTTTTCAATGAAGCTCTTACAAAATCTTCCAACCAACTTCTTATTGCAATAAAAGTTTGAGCCAAAGTCCCTCACAAAAGGAACAACACCATCCATCGATAAACACACCAAACAAACTATCTCGAGACTGATTTATTCATGACTGATTAAGACGCAACAAAAACCATAGAACAGACACAACAAACCTCTTCACTCAATGAATCTCACAAACATACCTTATTTATTGTAACACGATAAACATCCTTGTTTTATTATCCGACTAATGCAAGGAGGAACTTCTCGTAATCTCCAGAAGTGTCCCCCGAGATCGCGTGCTCAAGGGGCACACTGTTGCGCCTGTGATATTCTTCTTTAATGCGCTGCAAGTTGACTTCAGCTTGGGTCACAATCACACGGGTGAGGGCATTTTCGTCCGTGCCAAGCCCCTTTATGGCTAATCGTAGGGTTTTCTCATAATATCTCTCGGGGCAAGTCAGGCATTTTATAGTTGCCCTCAAGAAAGTGAGATATTTGTTGTCCGGGTCAGCTTGTAAATCCTAGATCGAGCAGAGTGAGAGAAAAAAAATCCGTGCCATAAATATTGTTGAGAATAAGTTATTAACAAGAAAATGAGTTACAAGGATTCCATCTGTTTTGTTTAGATAGACTTGTGAAATATTTCACACAGGATTACTGAACATTCTAATTTGTGTTAGAATTGTATACTTTTACTGTTTCATCTCTGTTTGAGCTTTGCAATGAATGCCACAAAATATAAATTATTGCTGAAGCTGGAGTTAAATAAGTGTAATTGAGTCAATATATACGTAAATACTAATTAATATTCTCAATCTGGAAATAAACCTAATTTGAGGCCGGCCAGAGCAGAGATCAAGTAAACTTTGTGAGAATGAGGTAATAATACTTCTTTGAATGATTGCATGAAAAACCATGTAAAAGGGTTACCTCTAATATAAGTTTAACTGACTTATTCTCTTGTTAGGCTAACACTTAAGTGTACTTTTTGTAATTTAACCTAATAAAGATTATGAGTAGATCTTCCCAGTTCCCATCAAGAAACAAGAAAGTTTAAAGTCTTATCACCGTAAAAATATAATACATTACTTTTGAAAGGATTTGATTTATCTAGGCATCATAACTTCAGTTTAGTTTGAAAATGCAATTTAAATCCTCATGATATTCACACACACTTAAATACAAGATTCACAGGATGAAGAATTCTTAATTACTATGATAACTTGAGGGGAAATGTAAATTACTTATTCGACTATACCTTAGTTATGGCATTTCCAACAAGATCATTGTAATGGTTGAGAGTGGCATTGAGCTGTGCTTTGCTCCTCGTAGTTAGAACTCGGATAAGCTCTTCGTCAGCATAGGCTTTGTCACATATCTTCTCGTGAAGCAATTTAGCCTCTGAATGTGCAAGCATCATGTTCACCTCTTCTCCTTCATACCGGAAGGCAGTCACAAGAGGAACCAACAGCTGTTTAACATTGGAAAACATACAAATATCACTATTTCTTTCATTTTAAAAGGACAACTGCAAATTAGAGCATAACAATTGTAACAACCTGTCAATATGTATAAATAGACATTACCTTGCGAAAGTCGCCAGATGTGTGATGTGCAACATCTTCCTCGAGTGATTTCATGTAACGGGCATGATACACTTGCCTTACCTTAAACAGGTCATATGATGACCTAGTGCAAGCAATTTCCATGATAACAAGATTGTTCGAAGTGAACATCTTTGTAGCCTCATTTGCCAGCTGTGCATCTCGCTCGGCTTGATCTAAAGTCCAAAGGCTGACCGCACGCTAGAACATTATAGAAAATAATAGGCAGACATTTTAAGTTAGAAACAATCCAAATAAACAAACCAAAGTAGATCAGTCATACACATTAAGGAGACTAATGAGAAGAGGTCAACAAGAGCAATATCATAGTTTCATAGCATAAAATCATTTGGAAAAAAAAGAAGCTGATGTTATGTTCATTGATCCTAACTACGAGACAACAAGTTTCCTACTGACCATCAGCGAACACTTTCAAGGAAAAAAGAAATGAAATTTCACTGTTGCAAGAAAAATGTTTTTTATGTAATACATTGCCTGTTTTTTAATTCAAAAGGTAGAACATGGGGTGCTTTAGATACTTGATTCACTGATAAAGAACTTTTTTTAACCCATTGTATTCTTACCATGAAACTAGTCATTGAAAAGAAAAGATGAGTTAAAACCCACAAGGAAAATATCAAATATTATCAAGATATCCATTATTACAGACCAACCGAGTGAAGAATATAATAGTCTACTAACCAGAAAATCACCCGATATTTCTTTCTCCAAGTCCTTGAGAAGATCTTCTCCATAAGCTGCGACATATGCTTCGCGAATCAAATTCCGTTGGGCTCCATTCCTATGTGCCAATATGGTGATTATAGCTCCCTCATCTGTGCCCAATCCTGAAGAGAACAAATTTCAATAGAGACATCATGTCAAGCACACAATTCATTCCAACTTATTAGATTGCATAAGATTTTCTTTCAATTTCTTTTCTTTATCTTGTGTCCAAGGTCACTCATTGTCTCCAAATAATTGAATCTTAAATTGCATTGTGCACAAAATAAAATATGCCACTTAATAAAATTGAAACTTTAGTGCAGTTCAGAGAGCATAAGCATGCCGAGAGTTAGAAAAGACTATTCTCAACTTTTAGGAGTGAAACAGATAAACTATTGCAAGAGAAATTGTTATTCCATCTTGTACTCAAGGCCAATTAATATATTATCAAATATCATCAAATTCAGGGGGAAATCACTAAATGAAAATCACTCAAATACTAAAAAAAAAAAATTAGAAGAAGTCTCAGAAATGCTCTATGCTTAAATCAATCAAATGGTGAAGAATAGATCAGTCCCTAAAGATTAATGTAATAAGTATGACCTATCACTGGTCAAAATCCTGTATTGATACACAGATCTAACAAATAAACAAACAAGAACAAGCAGAGAGTGAAATTTCTTCGCAGAAAAATACCAGTGAAAGCTTTTTTAAGCTGCTCAGCATCCTCTTCAGGGGAAGGAACAGATGCAGGGACTTGAAGAGTAGCCATAATCGAGACTTTTTTTTTTTTTTTTTNTTTTTATGATCTCTCTCTTTCTAACGCCACTGTAATCGGGATTTTTTGTGTAGTGAGGGATAGAAGTGTAGTGATAGTGAAATATATATACAGGAGAAGGTGATAAAAATTAAAAATGACGTGGTCTTGGAGTTCATAACGCATAAAAAAGTCAAAACTATCGTCGTCTGATTGTTGTGACACGTGAATAGTGATTGTACAAACTTTTATTTTCATTAATAAAGGCATCCGTTAGATTAACATTTAAATGGTAATTACTAATTAATTAATATCAATACAAGCATCCGTTTAATGGTTGGACCAGTATTGGCATTTAATATTTAATTTAATAAAGGATTGAACAGATTAACATTTAAATGGTAATTAATATTAATGCAAGCATCTGTTTAATGGTTGGACCGGTACTGGCATTTAAAAGATTGATTGAACGATAACATTATATAAACAAATTTTATTCTATTTCTGTAAATTTTATTGTAGATTTGACTTTTTGTTATTGTGTTACAATATGGTTTGAATTTTCAATTTTTTCATTTGACGGTTTCAATTTTAAGTTATCTCAATTAAAAGCTTACTTTTACATTATAGTTTTTAATTTAAGATACCAACTAACTTTATATTTTTAAATAAATTAATATTCGATCATGTGCAATGTACATATGCAAATAAAAATTTATATATTATATGTGTGTAGATAATAGTTAAATCATAAGTTAGATAATGAGCATATCACATTTTATATATTTTAACGTTTGTAAAAATTAGATATATATACATAATTTTTTAACGTACATATTAATCTTTATATTGATCGTAATAATATAATTTTAGCTATCTTGGTTGATCATGACCAATTAATTATATAAAAATAATATTAAAATTATTATTATTATAGAATTTGTGTACGAAATTTTAAGGTTTTTGGTTATGCCATAAAAACATAACTAACTTTTTATTTTATATTTTTTTAATAATAATAGTTTAAATAAATAGTTTGTAAAAAAAATTAGAATAGAATACCATTTAATGTGACTTATGATTAGTTAGTGATGGATATTATGAAATAAAAATATAATTACTTTATTTATGCAAAACAAATTAAGGTGCCAGTTGATTATTTATTCTCGTTTTTAATTATTTGTCAAATGAAGAATATTACATTAAAAGATGTGCAACAATTTTGTTCGACAGTGTGATTTCTACCAAAAAAAAAAAAAGTTGATTTGCTATGGGATTTACATTACACATATAATTGATCAAGGCTTCTTTTTTGTGTATTTAATATATTATGTATTCATTAATTATGTATGTTTTTTGTTACCATCAGTGTGCACGTTATTCATTGGATGAGATAATTGAAGATTTTTTTTTTTCTTTTTGTAATGTAATATTAATGAATAATTCCTTTATACCTTTTCATAACATAAAAGAAAACTCTTAAAGTAACAAATTAATTTTATATTAAATTAAATCGGTTGGATTAAATTTGCTAATATATGATTTCAAACCAAGAATTAAAAATAAAATAAATTATAGGTTAAGTGGTTGAGGAAACGCAAATGGCTAAAATTATGTAAGAAGATTAGAAATTATATTATATATAAATGTTGGATAATAGGGATTATAACATTTAGATAAAGTGGAATAATGTGAAAAGAAAAAAAAATAATGACAGAATTTTGTAAAGTCTTTTGACGGGGAACGAAAATGTTTTTATTAATTGTTTTGCTAGAAATTATATATATACTAGTATTCGATTCTGTACAAATACAAATAAAATTTTATACGTTATATATATATGTTTTATATAAAATTTAAATATCATATGTTAGATAATGAGCATATCACATTTAAAAATTTTATCATTAGAAAAAATGAACGATATAAATCTAAACTATTTAACTTACATATTAATCTTTTAATTTATGCAATCTTGGCTGATTATGCCAATTAATTAGATAAAAATAAATATTGAAACTATTATAATAGCAATTGTGTACAAAATTTAAAGGGTTTAATTATGCCATAAAAAAATTAATTAATTTTAATATATAAAACTTGCTTAATGAGGTGAGCAAAGAAGAAATAATAATGTTAAATAAATAGTTTGAAAAAAGCTTTAGAATAGAATATATTTAGTGTGACTTTATTATTAGTTAATAGTAACAATTATATAATAAAATAAATAGAAAAATTAATTGTTTGATTAATGCAAAAGTAACGAAAAAATGCGGGAANCTTTTATTATAAGAACTAATTTTATATATTCTTAATTTTTCAAAAATATAAATTTTATTCAAAAATAATAATTTCTATAATTTTATTTTTTTTCAAAAAAAATATTTTTATAAATAGTTTAATTTTTAATGTTATCATATATTAAGTTAAAATTTAATTTTAACTTTAAAATAAATTTCATTAAGCCTTTGCAGAAATGTAAATCAAAAATAATTATCTTCGTAGGTAATTTTACTAATATATTAATACTTTTTATTATAAATTCTTAATGAATAATATGTTTTTTAAAATATTGTGGTTTACATAATGAAGTCAAAATACAAAGTGATTTTGAGTCTTAAATTGAAAATTAGAATGTAAAAGTAGATATTATATTGAGAATAACTTAGAAGTGAAACTCTCAATTGAAAAAAGTTAAAAATTCAGACCCTATTATGATACAATACCTAAAAATTAAGCCCTACAATGGAATTTTTTTCATTTTTTTCTATAAATAATGAATAAGTGGTTCCACCTGTATTTATTTTTAAATGTTCAACCAATGTAAAATATGTTTATATGGAAGAATATTTTATGAAAAGGATGATGTACATATGATGTGGATGAAAGATATTGCGACTTCTATCTAAATGAACAATATTGAATGTGGATAACCTAACAAGAAATCCATACAATCTACAAGTTACAAACCCAAAATTTTAGGATTGCTTGAAATTTATATATGTACAATGGATCCAATAAAACCTTTTAAATGTTATAATATAATGAGAGTGTAAAATTCAATCAGTACTAGTATTCGACCTTGTGCATTTGCACATATGTAGATAAAATTAAATATTATAAGTTATTTGTAAGCATATAATATTAAAATTATAAGTTAAATAATAGAATTATATTTCAAACATATAGTATTATAAGTTATATTTATGCATATAATATTAAAATATAAATTAGATAATAGTATTAAACTTTAAAATTTGATCATTGGTTAAAATAAATAGCATACGATTTGATTGCATACGAATCACTATATTAATTGCATACATAGTAAAAACTTATATTTTTTGTAATTTGAATGATCATGACCAATTAATTAGCTGAAAAAATTAAATTTATTATAACAATTACTTATATGAGTTTAAGAAATTTTATTGTGACATAAAAAAAATTAATTTATTTAAAAAATAATCGCTTAATAATATAAAAAAAATATAAAATTGATTTCAGTGTAAAATAATTTTATGTAACTTTCATATATCATTTAGTTTAAAATATAATTACTAATTTTAATATTAACTATTATATGATTCCATAAAACTATTATATGATTCACTAAGAAATATAATTATTACTCAATTAACATAAAATATAATAGTTTAATTAACCATAAAAAGTGTAATGAAATATTTTATTATTAATGAGATAGAGTGTATTAATGCCGTAAGTATAATTTATTAGGTTTTATTTAATGATTGGCCACATAAGTAAAATTTATTAGGTTTTATTTATTAGGTAAAATTTATTGCTAAGCTAGCAATTATATATATATATATATATATATATATATATATATATATATA